CATTAACGGGAGAGGACGTGCAAACGTTACCGCTGCTGCTGGGTTGAGATTCACGAGTCCGGAGCGGAATTAAAAACACGAGGTCATCAAATACTTTTGCATATTCGTAGTGTTTCCTCCCTTAAATGAAATATCTACTTTGCAAGTATTGCAAGTTGCCCTGTTGTCATCCGTTCTCGTAAAGTATAACCAAACTTTTGAGCGTTTGAGCCGCTTATTTCCTGCCAGGTAAATGACGCTCCGCAACGTGGTGACGTCATTCGGGGGCGACTGGAATCGATATGGGAATCGTTTGCAAAAATGGCAAACAATTCCAAGGAATTGAAACAGTGGGAACTTGTTCTCAACAAGAACCGGGTTTCGATACCCATCCCTAGCCACACCTTAATGTTTGAATTCCTCTGGATTAACATGAGCACAAAAACTGTTTGCCAGGAGCTTCGTGGCTGAGGCTTTTGTCCTTATGGTGTTTTCTATGCAGATGTTTGTCTTTATATATGCCCTTATTAGAAAAAAATATTAAATGTCTAATAAAAATCCAACATTTTCCCGTAAAATAATAACTACCTAAGAAATCTACACAAGTTCTAAGCTACACACATATACATGGACTGTATTATTATTGGCAAATTCAGCACATAACGAAAATACAATGCCTGCAAGCACGCTGTCTTTACTTTAATGCTCACAGACACTATTATTTTCTGGGAGAGCCAGTGATGATCTAATAATAAGCATTCACAAAATAAGCAAACACCATACAGCATCAGCTATGCACCGACTATTATGAAAATATCTCCAAGCGAAAATATCTAAAAACATTCACTTACACATTATTTACAGACAAATAAATTGCACTGGATCACCAACTTTCAGTTAATAACAGGCTGATGTGCATTTTTGGCTACTGTGCAGTAGCAGAGCAATGAAAAACTGGTCTTACCTCACCCTGATACTCCAAAAGTGTTTTTTTCACATGGAATTGGCTTTGATTGTTGGAGTTTTCTATCAGAACTGAAGGATTTTACCTTGCAATATAAAGCACCTTAAGGTGACTATTGTTGTGAGTTGGCGCTATATAAAAAAAAAACCCAATTGAGCTGAATTGAAGCTGTTCATCATGCAATGCATTTTCAACTGCTGCCTTGACAGATGTTAGCTCCGAGCTCTCAAGCCAGCAAAGAAATTGTATTTGGGCTTGAGCCTACATTCTGCTGTGGTCAGGGGTTGATTCTGATGATCTGCTCGGTGTTGCTGTTTTTGATTGCTTCGTCAGAGGTGCCATAACAGAGAGAGCTATTATGCTGTTAAGCTGTAGCCCATGGAGCAGATACAGATAAACATTAAAACATTAATTCAGCATTCATACATTTAATTTTGATTATTTTATATGCATATACACTAACAGTCAAAGATTTGGACATACCTTCTCATTAAAAGTTTTTCTTTATTTTCATGAGTATTTTACATTGTAGAGTCTCACTGAAGGCATCACAATTATGAATGAACACTTATATAATTATGTGATAAACAAAAGAGTGTGAAATAACTCAAAACATTTTTATATTTTAGATTCTTAAAAAAATGCCACCCTTTGCTTTGATTACTGCTTTGCACACTCTTGGCATTCTCTCGATGAGCTTCATGGGGTCGTCACCTGAAATGGTTTTCCAACTGTCTTGAAGGAGTTCCCAGAGATGCTGAGCACTTGTTGGTCCTTTTTTTCGTCACTCTGTGGTCCATCTCATTCCAAACCACCTCGACTGGGTTTAGGTCAGGAGACTGTGGAGGCCAGGCCATCTAGCGCAGCACCATCACTCTCCTTCTTGGTCAAATAGCCCTTACACAGCCTGAAGGTTTGTTCGGGGTCATTGTCCTGTTGAAAAATAAATGATGGTCCAACTAAACGCAAAATGATTGGGATTGTGTGTCGCTGCAGGATGCTGTGTGGTAGCCATGCTGGATCAGTGTGCCTTCAATTTTGAATAAATCCCCAACAAAGCACCTCCACACTATCACACCTTCTCCATGCTTCACGGTGGGAACCATGCATGTAGAGACCATCCATTCACTTTTTCTACGTCAAACAAAGACCCCACAGGTGGAACCAAAGAAGTCAGATTTGGACTCATTACACCAAAGCACAGATTTCCACTGGTCTAATGTCCTAGTGTTTCTTGGCCCAAAGAAATCTCTTCTGCTTGTTGCTTTTCCTTACTTGTGGCTTCTTAGCAGCTGTTTGACCATAAAGGGCCGATTCACGCAGAATCCTCTGAACAGTTTATGTAGAGATGTGTCTGCTACTGGAACTCTGTGTGGCATTCATCTGAGCTCGAATCTGAGATGCTGTTAACTTGTGATTTCTGAGGCTGGTGTCTCTCGGTCTTCTTTTCCTGGGGCGGTCCTCTTGTGAGCCAGTTTTGTCGTAATGCTTGATGTTTTTCCAACTGCACTTGGGGACACATTGAAAGTTTGACTGACCTTCACTTCTTAAAGTAATGATGGACTTGCTCTTTACCTAGCTTATTGGTTCCAATCCCATTAAGAAGGTAAGAAACTCCAAATGAACCCTGACGAGGTACACCTGTGACATGAAAACTACTACTACTGCCTCATGAAGCTCACTGAGCGAAGGCCAAGGGTATGCAGCACGATCAACAAATCAAAGCATTGCTACTTTCAGAAACTGTATTTATCAAACTGGGAATAAGCTTTGTACAATATTTATGCATTACAAATATCATATTATTATTGATTTATTTATTTAGCGGATGATCTATTATTTTGTATTGCAACTGAATGATGAGAAAATGACCGAAGTGGTGGCCAAAATATTAATTTCCTCGGGAGCTCACTATATCGTCATCATCAGAAAATAGAGAAGCGTGAATGAGTGAATGCTTTTGGATACAACCTTTATCTCACATGGAAAAATCAGACTGTAAATCTTCTGCAGAAAACAAGCAACACATAAGAAACCCTTTTTAAAAGATTATCTCAGTATTTACTTCAGAACACAGCTGGTTTTGGTTGTGAAGTTTAATTGGCACAGTTCCTGCTTGTCAAGATTTTCTGACTCATTTTGTGTACTGGCTTCTTGCATGTAGCAACAGTAGTTTTACTATAGTTCACACTGTGTGCTTTAAAGTCTAGTGAATGGAATAGAGTGCTGTCCATGGTCCTAACCCTGAAACAATATCTTCAAAGTATTGTTTGCAGGTTTTGCATTTGTATTTTAATTTGGAGACAAAAAGGGTTTAATTAACATCCTGCAAACAATCTGGTTTAATGAATTAATTCAATTAATTCAAGAAGGATGTAATATTTGTTTGTTTTCTAAGTCTGTCTTTACACATACTGATCTACTAACATTAATAACTCTGCAGCTTTGGCCTCTTTAAACAGAAATAGAAAGAAGTCATTTGTCCAGAACTAAATAATCTGAACTTAATCTTGAGCCCATACTATGAAAGCTCATAGCAGTCGCAGTAGTAGTCTTTACTGACCTTTTGGGAATTCATTTGTGTTTGTGACAACTGATGGATAAATATAACCACAATAAAGAAGAAATCACAGGTGCAGACGTTATATCCCACATATAAAAATAACACTGATATATAATAACAGCAGAAATATAACCAAGAATCAAAGCACACCAATGTTAAAGGAACTCAACTGTCATATTAAGTTTTGTGCTTTTTTTTTTTTGTGGTTTACAGAAGGTAAAGAAATGTGTTCAAGACCACTACATCTCCCTTTCTGTTGTCATGCTCTACATTTATTGTTTTTGGAATTCTTTTTTCTTGATCACAATATCCACTTCTGAAAGCTAACAATAAGTCTTTTTAGTCATCTTTAAATTAAAAATTCCAGCTTTAAATTTTTTTTTAAATGTTATTAAGCTCGTCTTTGTCCTATGTGTTATTGAACTGAATGTCCTTGAAGGTTTTGTGCTGTTGGTAAAACAAAACAAGCCATCTGAACACACCTCCTCGGGACGTGCGTAACTATAACAAACACCTTTCACTGTTTTCTGACAGTTTTTAAGAAAAAAATAAGCTGAAGTGAACAATAATGAAAATAATTTGTAGTTTCAGACCTAATTTATTCATTTGTTTATTTTAATGATGGTGTCGTATAATTGGATGCTCTAAATGAATTTTCATTGCACCTCTCCGTACTGATGCTGCATTACACGGTGGTCATGTCCCATTTCATTTATCATTATCGGTGTCATGCAGTGCACTGCATTTAATTTATTCACAGTCTAAGGCTCCTGGTGGTGTTTTGCATTGCAGAGAAGAGTGGCCCTCGGGGTATGTGGGGGGGCCCCCTGCCTGGAAGAGGCTAGGGAAGCACATTTTATGACCCGCTTCAGGTGTTACTAATCAGGTTTCTTAAAAAAAATCTTGAGTCTGTGTGCTCTGTGTTTGAAAATGATCAAAGCTCACTTTTTTTCAACTTTGATGGGTCAGAGCTCATAAACTACGGGTCTGATGATGATGGTGATGAAAGGATAATGCATGTTGTTATTGACCGGCCTGCTTCACTCACAGGGGATGACTGCTGTGAATGAAGCTAATCAACAACATCAAGCATTTCTCAGCCCTCAATTTTTTTTATATACAGCCACTGTGAATGTTACAACCCCCTAAATTATCACTGTACATAATATTTATTTGGTCTCTAAAATTAGAAACATTTCTCATGTGAAACTTGACATATGGTTATGCATCTGCCAGCTTTCTTGCTGTTCTGTAGATATATATACATTTGAGCTGAGGCTCAGATCCAGAGCAGCCTACGCTAAGAACATCTGTTAGGATAATTATAATTCTCAGATCAGCTGAATTACAATCACACAAGAGAGAAGTGTACAAGGGGCTGAAAAATGGCATACTTAAAACTTTGTGCTTGTTTTTTTTTTTTATATTTCAATGCAAATGATTAGGATTTTTATGCAAATGAATATTACAGTGCATTATCTTTGTGTGTTGCAGGATCCAGTCCGGCTCCTACCTCAGCACGGGCTGGTTCACGCTCATCCTCGCCATGGACATGTGCAAAGAGATCCATATCTACGGCATGATAAATGACACCTATTGCAAGTAAGACATGAACTGTCACACTCTCGCTACCCGCTCCCACATCTTCCTTCCTCTATACTTGCATGAAAAATGCACGCGTTCCTACAAAACTTTGAAAACTCCATTCACATTCACCCCAGCGCCGGCCAATCACAACCTCCCATAACCACGGTCTGCCCTGTTACATTTCCAATGCCTCAGTTTGGATTTAATGGCTGAGTTTCTATGCTGAAATCCATATTGGGTTCTCTGTGCCGTGAATACCATTATGTTTCCCTGCCTAGAATACCCAGCAGGCAGCAGTCTCTCTTTGGCTGCGGGTGGCTGGGCTCCAGCACCCCAATTCCTCCTCTGCTTCGAGTTTTATTTGTATATCGGGCCCGTCGTCTTCTCTCTGACTCCGGGGTGAGTGATTACTGTCTGACTGCGAGGCCATGGGAGGGATGACAAACAAGATGCTCTTGCTCTGGGCATGGCTGCTCAGTCTCAAGTCATCTCAGCCTTGATGATCTCGCCTCCTCTCGCAGCTCTACCTGAGCTCTCTCTATCCCCCAAATCAAACACTTTTACCTAATGCACACTGAAAATCCTGCCTTTTATCCTCTCTGTGCAGCCCGTGCACAGCAGGAGCTGAAATAAAGACACATGGCAGAGCGAAGCGATAATTCAACCAGCACGGAGGATTTTATGATTCAGTGAGGCAGTTAAGGGCCAGTTTTCTCTCCCTGCCTCTCTCATTTATTTCCCTCCATCCTGCATAGGACAGGAATATATTGTGTTTCACCAAGTTTCTGAATTGACAGTTTAGAGTCACGCAAAGTGCTTCTGTCAGCTGGATGCTCCAGAACAACAAGGAGAAGGAAACTTTTGTGTGGCAATATTCATGGTTTTAGGTTAGGATTGACCCCAGTGGTTCTGTGGCAGTGGTGCTTCAACAGGTGCTGCAGAGAGGGTGAAATTGAATTTATTTGTCAACACTGGTGCACACTGTGTGACACAGAGGAGAGGCAGTGATTGGGCTTTGTATTACTGTAAGCTGGCAGACAGCCACGGTCGCTTTCCCGCTGTGGAGCCACTGGCTGCCGTGATGGCTGTTTCCCTTCTCTCTGTATTCATTCTCTCAGTGCAATTGTTACACAAGTCATCCTCTCATAAAGCTGTCACTCGCCATTAGAAACCAGTGGCAGAGTGCACAATGAACCTTATCCATTGCTCCAAGCTTCCTTCTGTTTTTATTGATCCCTTCTTTTGAATGCAAACTCTAAACCGAGCGACGCATCGTGAAATCCATTACTGTACATTACTGAGCTTGCTGCATGTTTTCAGATTTACTTTGTCTCAGAATAGAAGTGAATCTGTTGTGATGTAAATCAGAGTTTAGTTAAAAGACTATTTATTGAATAAATGCGGGCGCCGACAGCAGCCCCTTTTTTCAAATAAGGTAGACCTGCCGAGTAGAAGCCTTTGCTCGCGGCAGAATCAGCTCGAATTACTGAACACCGTCTCAAAGGAGCTTCGTTTTAATGGTTTAATAATTGAATTTGTTTTCTTACTTTAGATTTTTATTTCTTTTAAGCCAAAACCAAGAACGCTAAATGTATTCTTAACTGTGAGAAAGAGAAGATTGAAAATTTTAACAATATATATTCATCAATATGTTTATATATTTAACAATATGTGAATACTCAAACATCAGTCATGGTTTTAATTTGATATGCAGTAGAAAAATAAATACCAATATGTTTGTTTTTTAAACCTGAGTGACTAGTGCAAACACATTTTCTCGGGGTGCTGTGGTTACACACATGCATGTTATGTTGTGAATCTAAATTGGTCCTAGCTGTGAATGCCTGTCTCTCTGAGTTAGCCCAGCGATGAACTAGCGACCTGCCCAGGATGTACCTTGTATCTGTGAGAGCTGGGATGGGTTTGTGAGCTGTGACCTTAGTTGGATAAGCAGTTAAAAAGCTGGCTGGATAACTGGATGGATAGACATTAGACAAATAGTCTACTACTATAACAGTCTCTACTTTGCAGGGCAGCTTTTTCACAATTTTTGAGACTTTAGGCAGGGATTTGCTCCCAGTTATACACGACAGCATTAACAGGATGTAGAGTGATGAACTCTGGCCTGGAGATCCTATTCCAATTCATCCAACTGAGAAAACCTTTTCTTTACTGACCTCGATTTGTGCCTGTGGGATTTGCCATGTTGAAACAGGAGCAGGCTGCCATCAGTGTCTGCCATAGCAAATTAAAAATGTTCCCTGACAAACATGTGTACACCTGGATAAATAAAATAGCTTAGCACCTAGAAAGAACCTAGAACCTAGAAACCTAGCATATGTACAAACCCAATTCCCAAACAGCTGGAACACTGTATAAAATGAAAAGCAGAATGTAATGATTTACAAACCCATGAACCCATATTTTACTCAAAATATAAGGAACATATGAAGTGTTCAAATTCTGGGAGAGGAATGTTGTCCCATTCTTGGCTGCTCAAGAGTCATGGGTTGCATTTGTCATGTTTTTTGTTTTATGATGCTCCAAATGTTTTCAATTGGTGAAATATCTGGACTGCAAACAGTATGTACCTGTATGTACCTTTCAGCATTAATGGTGTCTTTTCAGATGTATAAGCCGCCAAATCTACAGACTGTGATGTTCTCATAACATCAGACTTTTGAACTGAACACTGATAACAAGCCAAATACTCCTTTTCCTCTTGGAGTCAAAAAACATAAAAGTGGAAAACTGCTCTGGGGTCAGATGAATTGAAATTTCGATTCATTTTGGAAAACATGAACATCTCGTGCTCTGGACTAAAATTTATGTATGAGATATGGGACAGAATCACGCCTGTTTTTAATGCTCGGCTGTGAGGGTCCAAAGATCATGAGCATCCAATCGATTTCTCCAGATTTTACATTGAGGAACATTATTCTCGGGTTAGGGTTAAATCAACATTCAAAGGTGTACAGAGGTGAACAATCTGTTACCAAAGTGTAAAAAAGTAAACAAAAAGATTTGTACTTGATGGATAATTCAAAGGCAGGCAGACTGACGTTACACGAAGCTGAACGTGTCCCATCAATACATCAGTTAAATTGAAAAGCAAGATTAGGACCCCAAGCATTTTCATATTAATAACAAGATGTCAGTATTTCAATTCCAAATAATTGATACACACATGGTGCCTTTATCACAGTTTCATAAATATTCATAAAGGCTACAGTGCAGTTAGTTTACTCAATTTTTAATACTATACTACCACAGTATACACTTTTGTTAGACGTTTGTATGCTATGTCGGTGCATTTCTCCAACATCAGAATTGACACAGCAGAACTAGAGATCATGTTTTTTTTAACACACTCATTCTTCTTCCTTGTCAAAACCTACCGCCCACAGTACTCACAGTGCAACTGAACCACTGACAGGTCAGCTGGAAATTCGAATGTAATATGTGTGGTGGCTAATGAAGCCTCAAGCTGATCTCAGACACAGATGAGGAGTGGGCTGAATTTTTTTAATAGCTTTTTTCCCACATATGCAGTGCCATCCCCAAGTGAAGAGGGTGTACTGAGAAAATGGAACGAGTGCTTTGAGGAGCTCATGAATGAAGAAAATGAGAGCAAGAAGAGGAAAATTGGTCAATCAGAAAGTGCTGAGAATTAGGAAGGAGGAAGTGAGGGCAGATGTGAAGAGTGGAAAGCAGCTGATATGGGTGTGACATACCTGTGGAGGGTATGGAGATGTCTAGGAGAGAGGGCAGTGGACTTTTTAACCAGACTGTTGGAGAATGCCCGAAGAACAGAGAAGTATATTGGTACTGATTTTCAACAGCAAGTGTCATGTGCCGAGCTGTAGTAACTACAGAGGTATAAAGTTGATATCCCATATCATGATGATATAGGAAAGAGTTGTTGAAGCTAGACTGAGAAAACAGCTGACGATCAGTGAGGATGAGTGTCAGGGGTAATTTGGGACTGAAAGAAAAGACTGTAGTGAGAACTGCTATGGTTTGGAGGCAGTGGCACTAACAAAAAGACAGAAGGCGAAGCTGGAGGTGGCAAAGTTAAAGATGTTAAGGTTTTCACTGAGTGTGACCAGGATAGACAAAATTAGAAATGAGTTTATTAGACAGACAGCTCAGGTTGAGCCGTTTGGAGACAAAGTCAGGGAGATATAGCAGAGATGGTCTGTACATGTGCAGAGGAGGTATAGTGCCACTCCCAAACAATTGTAGATGAAAGTTTGTGTAAATAATGTGTAAATAATCTTCTTCTTCTTCTTCTTTTTAGGACAGAGGATTACAAAAAAGTTCCCTACCATTATTACGAGGCGGGCAGCCGAGACGAGTGTGCTGAGTATCTCCTGCATGAGAGTGCCCCATATGGAGGACACCGTTTCATCACGGAGAAGTCCGTTTTTGCCAAGTGGGCAAAGTCTCATGCCATCAAGTTCTTCAACCCACCGTGGCAGCTGTCGTGACCCTGGCTGAAGCAGCATGGAAGCATCATTATCATCATCATCATCATAACTATCATCCACAAAGACAAAATGAATCTCTGCAGTTACACTAACCAACACACAGCCATTTTTGCCCAAATCCCAGCCCATATCTATTAATAAAGGTTGTTTTTAAAGTCCTGGTTGGGTACACATGGAGCCTCATACAAAAAAAAGAAAAAAAATTACATAAAAGTTTGACCAACGTGAACAGCAATGACACATCTCCTGCTTTTTTGAATTTAAAGCCCTCTCCTGAATTTTAGAGCTGAGGCCTGCTGCTGTGCACTGACTAATCGATCCGCTCGCTGCTCTGTGAGTCCAGCGAAGGATGGTTTGAACTTTAAAAAAAGGAGAAGAAACAAGCGTCCGTCAACTCGCAGTGACCTTAGTGGCTCAGATTTCCGTATTCTCTACACATCACAGAGGCCGAATTTACATTTTCTCTCAAAGCTGTAGCAGAAGAAGCGCTTAGCTGCCGCCGTGGAGGCAAGTGGCATCAGCTTGGACGTCTGACAAGCTCGTCCACTTTGTTTCCTCTGCGTGTCTGTCTTCTGTCAGGCTGTAATTAATCTATAACGAGTATCATTCAGGCCTTCATCTCTGACTGAGCGAGTGGTGAAGGCAGATGCTCTGTCAGATTCAATTTTGCTCCGTTCTGTTCAAAGGCGCTTCAGAACAAGGTCACGAGAAAAAGACAGCACTAGCAGATTGCAGTCAAACTTGAAGGTAAACCAGAGGTGGAGATGTAAATCAGCTTTTTTGCTTCTGTGTGGTCATACACGCAACTTAAAGGTGTCCTCTTTATGTTATTTTTTTTTCTTTTTATAATGCTGTGAAAATGACGATTAAGACACATGTTGCGGTGTTGGCCTGATGTCCTGATAGTTTGCTAATGTATTCCCGCGGAGATAAATTGTTAATTCTCTTGAACAGTGTGCCAATCGACAGTGTGAGTATCACAGCGCACAGAACGATGTGCAATTAGAAGCTTCGTCTTTACGGAAGGAGTTAAGTCATTTGTGACCCTGCGGAGAGAGAGATTTATATGTGCAGTGAAACCATTTGAAGTTAATTGTATTCTGTTATCATTGTGCCTGCAACATACTCTGAAGTTCATCGTATAGACACAAAGGAAGATGCTCTCTCTCGTACTCTCATCCAGCTTTGTGCCTCTATGTGTAAAGCTTTGCTGCGTGAACGCATCTTCCCATTTGTCTCTGGTTGGAGCGTGCGTGTCTCTTGGCTCGGGGCATTACATTTGAATACATCTGTTCCAGGACGGTGAAGAATAATCAGTGAAGTGGTGAGGTGTGTATGCTGGCTGGTAGCTGTGGATGTGACCAAGACTGCCTCTCCCGAGGCTGTGATTAGTGTCCTGGTCAGTGCGGTGGCCCAGAAGGGAGGACTGGACCGACTCAAAGACTTTAAATACAGACTGCTCGATGCAAACACTCCCTGGTGATTGCAGCTGAGTTCCAGAGTCTCAGAATTGCTGCAAATCAATGCCTAACAACACACGGAGGCTATGCTGTTTGTCTGTGAGCACTAATGTGGTGATTTGCAGGTCAAGTTTACAGGTTAAAACTTGACTGAAAATAAGCATGAAATCCATTCGATTTTTTTAAGGTCCATTTGTAGCTTTTTCTAATACTTTCACTTAAAAGAAAAATGGGGGTTTGGGGGTGAAAAGTCACATTTTGACATATCAGCAGAGTTTCTGCAACTCTGCACTCACTGCATTTCATTTGAAACCAGGTACCACCTACACATTGAAATTCAGTGCTTCAGATTCTCTGTAAGTTATTTGTAACCTAGTAATCTTGTGTGAGAACCCTTCTAGACCCGTAAAAACATAGAACATGGGTGTCTGAATGTACTTGCTGATGGCACAGGAACGATTAAGAAGGTGCTTAATGTTGCTAAAACCTCATGGCAGCTATAACTTGAATACATGTATTCGGATAGTAAGTAGGAAAAACAATTGTAACGATGCAATGACCATATGAAAAAAATCATTTTTGATCTTAACTTGTTGGCCTTATAGCACCCCCCCAACATCTAAGATGCTTTTAAGGCCCATAAGATGTAGCTGGAGACCTTGAAAAACAAAGGTATTGGATGTACCTCAAGATTAAAGGCACCTTGTGGAGTGTTTTTTTAAATCAATAAAGAACATTTAGATTTACATTCAGAAGTCATTGTGCGTATCCTTGAGGTTTAACAGCTACAATGAATGGATTCCCTACTCAAAAAACACTCTCATAGCCCCATTTTGTGACAAACAAAATGTGGAGCCACTCGTCGGAAAAAAGAAACAAACAAACATTCAATATCAGCAATATTAGAGGTCACAAACTCCACAAAGTACTTTTAAAGGTTTTTCTTTTTACAGAGTTTTCTACTTTGAAGAGGTACACTAAAGGACTTTCAGGCTCCACCTCTAACAGTTTACTGTGTAACAGTTTTCTAAACTCTCTCTGTCAGTGTTGTTTGCCTGAAGCCGTTTTTCACACATGCACTTTGGACAATTTTGTGAGAATCAGGTTGGGATATTTTCCACAGTTGTCTTTCCTCATATGATACATATGCGATACGCACAGCAGGAAATAGTCAGTTTTAGATGCGTTCGCCATCCTGGAAATACTCTGTGTTGTTTAGGTGAGGGAGCTGCCTAAATAAGACTTCCTGGAGGCATTACACATGATGCACTCGCTGCATGTAATATTAGATGCTCTGCTCTCACGTCGGCACTCGTCATACAGCCTTTGTACAAGTGAGCTGGCGGGTTAAAGACCAGCTAATGGCTGATTTAATTGCATTAGACATTTGCAGTCTCACCTCCACCTTTGTTGGGTTAGTCCTAGAAAGGTTCTGTGCAGCAGTCCATGCGTGAAAACTGCTTTTTGTTACAATTTTTTGTAACAATCCCTAAATCAGTCAAAAACTAACAAAGAAGTTTAAGTTTTGAACGAAAGTTACAGTAATGGGGTCTAACCATTATTTCCATGGTCTAGACAGAACTTTCTTGCAGGCTTATAAGAAATCCTATTGAGATTACACTTCGACTGCTTGATCTGTATGACAGCTGAGCAAAGCCTTCCCCTGATGAAGACAGTCTTCTGTGATTGAAAGCTGTGGAAAAAGCTGGCATGTGGATTTTATTGTCAATTTTAGGGCAGTTTTAGCGCATCAGTAAAATCAAGCTTTCTGCGTTCTTGTGTATCTGATGCACTTCTGAAAACAACAGTATGTTTCAGTCCAAGAGAGCACAGCAAAAGCTCTGCATCTCTACTTAAAACTGTTGTCACCTTGTCACTCGTTATAAGTCAGCCCAGCTGATGAGAGCATCGGCAAAATGTAAAACCGCGCTGCTTTAAATTCCTCCCGGTGTAGCTCAGCGGATAGGAGACGGCCGTAACACAGGCGGGGTCAGCGGTCAGATTTCCTCGGGGATGGCGCGTGTTCAAGAGGTGTTTGGAATCCCAGCACGACAGGTAGCAGTGGATCAAAGTGTCCTCCACATGTACGTGAAGTATTAGAGCATGAAAATGAAATCTGGGCCGGCAGAGTTGGAAATCATGCTTCTTCTCCTTCCCGTGGGGAAAAAACAGCCATAGACACTGAAGCGTGGATAGGTACAGTAGGCCATGCATGTTAAACATTTAACATACATGTTTTATACATCTCGCTCAGCACGCAATTGTGCAGTCATCTGGCAGCTCTCCAACAGGCAGTTGCATTTCTGCTGTAGTTTTCAACCTACATTGTAAAGTGCTTCACATCAATACAAGAAACAGACTTTCTGTGAGACACGTTTGACGTGTTTTTAGGGTTTTTTGATGAATTATTTGAAGGCTTTTTGTTTGTTTACTCACAAGTGGAAGAAGAGTGCTGTTTTTTTCTGTTTATCTCCAATCCTCCTTTTGTGGCATGTTTTTAATTTAAGCATTGATGCCTTTTTTGTTTGTTTGTTTGTTTTTTGTTGATGCACTCGTTTGTGTGCAGTCGTTTTTTTTTTTTGCTGCTGCAGGCCACGTAGTTGATTATTTCCTGAGCAACAGACACTGCATTGTTCTCAGCTGGAGCACACTGGATGAAAACCCAAGGATGCATTATACAGTATATTATGAAGAATACATCCTCTTATGGGCTCTCATGAATCATCTGTGGCTCGCAGGAAGGGGACTGAATAAAAGACTGGGCTGAGATGCAGGCAGATAATAAGGTAGCTTTATTTCCAGAAGTTCTTTTTTTCAAATGCAAGAGCTTTTTTTTGTTTTTTAAAGAAAATATGAGCATTCATATCTGCCAGCTAAATATACAGCCAGCAACAGGTTACAGTAGGTTACCTTAGAATAAAAAATGAAAATGGGTCATAAAAGGTAACAAAATCCACCAAATAGCATCTCTGAATTTCCCCTATTAAAATGTTTTATATCTTATTTGTTTACAAAAACGCTCTTTTACATAATCATTACTAGTTGGCCAGTATGAAGTGGTTTTCTCTTGTTTGCAGCTTTAAGTCGGGGGCCTGAAGCTTCATATTTACTGTACAGATATGAGAATGGAATTGATTTGCTCAACTATTTTTTTGTGTCCTAAAATTTTGAACTATTTTACCCCTTTTGTTCTTAAAGTATCCCTTAACCCCTTAGCAGTCCTACAAATTTACAATTAGTCCCCTAAACCATCCAATGTACCGTGGGCGGTACGTCCGACTGCTAACAGGTTAAATCAGCGGTCCCCAACCTTTTTTGCGCCACGGACCGGTTTATGCCTGACAATATTTTCACAGACCGGCCTTTAAGGTGTCGCGGAAAAGTACAACAAAATAAAACTAGTACTGAAAAAAAGAAGATTTATTCATAACACACGTGAAAAGACCCAGGAAAACCGAGTTAACGATAAAAACGATAACAAAATAACGCTGAAAACCGATAAAAACCCTGAAAACTATACATTTCACACCTGAGCCTCAACTCTCGCGGCCCGGTACCAAACGACTCACGGACCGGTACCGGTCCGAGGCCCAGGTTTGGGGACCGCTGCCTTAAATGACCTCAAGTCATGTTCTGAGCAGTGCTGTTTAATTTGAAAAAGTATAAACTGTCGTTAAATCCGAAGAAAACTCTGCACTCGAATGAAAACACAGATCAGCTACAACATTTAGACTGGCTGCTAAATATTGTGCCGTCCCCCTTTCTGTAGCAAAAACAGCTCTGATCATATGTGTAGGTCATCCTGTAGACTGGGTGTGTTGTAGGGCATCTAACACATGCTGCAGAAGTTTGGGGTCTGGATCACCACCTTGGGATCTGTTTCTGGGCAGTTTTTGTCTGGAGTAGATACCCCTACTCTTGCTTTCCTAGCTCAGAATTTATTAGCACTAATCCTACATGATCAGGTCAGTTTTACAGGGAAGAGCAATGCAGACACACTAGCACATGCCTATAAATGACAATGTATCACTAACCATAGCATACAACAGGATGTAAGTTTTCTAAGCGGAACACCACGTTGTTGACAAGATGATAAGTGTAATTAATTTCACCTGTCAGTGTTTTTAATGTTGTGGCTGATCAGTGTAAATAAAAATTAGGGGCAAATGTTGAAGTTAAAGCAAACCGAAGTCCTGATTAAAACATTTGAGTCTCGACATTTGCAGAACAAAGACGTGAATTTCATTATTCGTCACAGTTTTAAAATACAGTCATTATTTTTTCTGGGTGTCCTGCTGTGATAGTCAAAGTAATTACAGTTTGGAATTTAGTTACAATTTGACAAAACTTTTGATTGTTTCTTTATGTAGCACATTATTTATTCCCTGCTAATTATCGTACTTGTTGCCATTTCAAACTCTTGAAGTGCTTTTTTGCATTGAAAAGTTTATTATGACATTCATAATTGTGTCATCTCCTTTCCTCTGTGCATGTCTTACAGTTTTTTTGTGTCCTGACACATGTTTGTTTTTCGTGTCCAGGTTAAGTGTCCTTGTGAAGTGTGTAACTTTGCGTGTTTAAGTTGCATAGAATGTAAAATGACACTATGATGAAAAAAAAGTGGTTTTGCTAACACAGCTAACACACCTTTTTTTTAATCACTGGTGAAATAACATCCAAATGCTGCATGGATTTTTGCAGGTTATTGAATTGTACATTTCGTTAAAAATAATAATAATTGTGATTATATGTGTTACTTCTGTCATTTGCTGTCTGCATATTAGCTAAAATTAGATATATTGTGAATGTTCTTATTTTTACCGATGTGAAGTGTGTCCTCTGTCTTTTATTCACTGTGGGGATTAAAGAAAACCGTAAAACTCCTTTTATATGATTAATTTCTTTTCATAACAAAGCCGAGTAAGGAGGATAAGAATATAAGACGACTGGTGAAATGTGTTCATGTTATATGAATGGAGCGCCGGCTGAGCTGTCATCTTAAATCTGGTGTCTCATGAGAATTTTAAAACGTCAGTAGAGGAGCAGAGATGTGCTGAGTCCAGACACTTCCTGGGAGTTTTTGGTTTTTATGTAACCTCCGCATAAATGATCATAAGTTTGAAATAATAATGCCTACACTTGTGCTTTTTATGCCACAGTAATGAATAAAGAATCAAGACAGAAAATTAAAAGGCCACTGCAGCAGTATGTTAATGCACTTTTGTTACTTTAGAAACAAGAACAGCTGAACTTGAAGCACACAAAATGAAATATCCTGACTGAAAACAGAGGAGTTTTTCTTTCTCCTCTCTGTAACCTAAATACTACATTGCCAAATTCAGCACCACCTGCTCAACTCCCCATTAATGCAAATATCTAGTCAGCCAATTACATGGCAGCAACTCAATGCATTACTGGGTTTACTGACAGGAAGTCACCAGTAACTGAAATAACAACTCATTACAACCAAGAAAAGCAAAAGAGAATCTCTCAACAAACATCATGCCGAACCTTGAAGCAGAAGAGCTACAGCAGCAGAAGACCACATTGGGTGTGACTCCTCTCTGCAAAGATCGGGAAATGAAGCTACATTGTAATCGGCTCACCAAAATCGGACAATGGAAGATTAGAAAAAATGTTTGATGGGTCTGGTCTGATGAGTCCCAATTTCTGCTGCAACATTTGGATGGTAGAGCCCGATTTTGGTGTAAACAACATGAAAGCATCAATTCATCCTATTTTAATCAACAGTTCAGGCCTGTGGTTGTTGTTTAATGATGTGGGGGATCGTTGTGTCAGAAAAAGCTTAGATCATGGCCTTCACAGTCTCCAGATCTAATGTCTGGTACTTGCTATGGACACTAAGCTAATGTATAGCTTTGTTTGGTAACAATATCCAGTGTAAATATAGCATATTGATTAACATGTGGATAAGCTACCCTGAAACTCACTGTAATAGGCTGTAATTGCATCGAGCTTGCTCAATAATGCACTAGTTTGTATTCTGCCAGTGCAAACATCCAGTTTTTCTCATTCTTATAGTTTAAGATTTATAAAACCTAAATCCACCATGATGAGGTCAGTTTTAGCAATAGAGACAGACAAGCGCATGCTTACAGATGGCAAAACAATCACTACCAACGACATCCGAGGCAGTACTATAAATCAACATCCACATCAAGATCACGATGCAGGGTTTTTAAGCAGAACATTACATTGTTGACAAGATGATCTATATTATTAATTTCAGCTGTTTTAATGTTGTAACTGATCATTGTAATAACAAATAGGGTTCTTTTGAACATGAATGCATTCCCAGTACTCAAATGGCCTCCAGAGCCTGCAGATCACAATCAAATAGAGCACCTTTGAAATGTGGTGGAACAGGAGATTCACATCATGGATGTGCAGCAGACCAATCTGAAGCAATTATGTGATGCTGACATGTCACCGTGGACCAAACTCTACAGCACCTTCTTGAATCTATGAAGAATTACGGCAGATCTGAAGACAAAAGGGAATCACTGTCAAGGTGTAACTAATTGACAGTGAGTCTACCTTAATTTTTAATATTAGATATGCTTTCCAAAGTAAATTAAGCATCATTTTTTGCTGTCTTTTTACTTGATTTTATTTATTTGGTACATTAACTAATGTTTTAATGAGCGTGTTTTCCAAGTTGCAATTTATTCATTGACAGTCTTCTTCATTTGAGCTTGTGGCAATTAAATTAGAAATGACGCTTATAATAATGCAACTCACATCATTTTGGGAACATCAGAAAAGAGATTTAGTTAAATATAGTTTTCTGGTTAAATATAGAAAAAAAATCCAACCAAGATGAAAAGCAGGAATTGATTGTAAATTATGTTGTTAAATTATTAACAACATGGGGGAAATGGAAAAAACCTGACATCCATTGCTACAATCCACCGACTGAGAAAAACATTACCACTGAACACACACATTCAGGAAATTACCTGTCCTTCAAAACTGTTCAGTACACTGTAAACATGACATGAAGGCATCAGGGGTAGCGTGGCCTCTCAAGCCCTGCTACCAATAGGAGTGAAGTCTTAGTTCTTTTAAAAAAAAAAGAAGAAGTGTATTTTCTTTTTAAATATGAATCGATTGAGCCGTGATGCTCAATGTTTTCAGCTCACGTACGTGGTGGTGTGTTTGAATAGCACATTTACATAAGTTTAATCAAAGCGTCATGTAGTGTCCAGGAGGACGCCAAGCCACAGCACAGAAAAGTATGTTTGGATGTTGTTGTTATGCTCCCTCTGGCTTTAGTTTAATTAACTGACAGTTTGAGTTGTTGTCTGCTTGAGCTGACCAGCGTCTGTGTCAGAAACGCTGTCCCGAGCCCTGTAGAAGTCAGTCGGTCACATTAGTGCATATTCCAAATGAGATTTAA